ATTGTACTAATAGGGTAATAAAGAGTGTAGACATAGCATGTGCACATGAGGTACATTAATTATGTTTTCAATGTATGGATGGATGACTTGTTGGGAGCATTTTATCGGTAGTAGATTCTTATTCCAATGATGTGAACCAACAAAGCCAGACAAAGCCAAACGTAGTCTAGACACAGAATTGATATTTTGCTCAGGTCAAGGTCTTAGGCGTCACTGATCTTATTTTACTATTCTACTATTACATATTTTACTAATAGGGTTATGGGAGTGTATACATAGCATGGGTCACTGATCTTATTTTACTATTCTAATATTACATATTTTACTAATAGGGTAATGGGAGTGTACACATAGCATGGTCCACACGAGGTACAATAATTGTACCATGAAGAGTCTTTACACACTTAGGCCCCTTTTGATTCACAGGAATAGGGTTTGGAATAGGAATAGGAATGGACTATTCTGATTACAATTCTTTAGTTGGGTGGGATTGAAATCCCATTCTCATTCTTATTAGAATGGCATTCGGCCATTTGAGGGAAAGACCATTTCCTTTTTCTCCTTTGGTAATGAAATCCCAATCTTATCGATTCCAATTTTCATTCCCATTCCTGTCTTAACTAAACAGACAATGGGAATAGACCATTATGGTTCTGATTCCAAAGGATTTCAATTCTAACTCCAATTTCAATCCCAACTACAAACCAAACAGATCCTTAAAGGAGCACCGAATGACCATCTATGAGGTCATCTTGTGGTTATACCTAACATGATCTATAGAGAGTATAGACAAAACGTCTACATCTTTACAATTGGATAGGGCTGGCAATCTTGACCCTAACCCATTTGACCCACCCAACCCACCCACCTTGGAACCCACCCATTCTATTGGTGGGTCAATATGGGTCGAGCAACCCATTAGGGTCAGTAAAAAAGGGTTAGAGTGAGTTGGATCGAGGGAGTCAAGGGTTGGGTCGACAATTTCGCCAAGCCTCACAATAAAAAATGCACATAAAGGGAATTGAACTTGAATCCACATAACATGTAAACATGCTCCTATTTCAAGCCACAAAGCTAAATGAGATTTTGTGATTAAACATTGTACACAAACGATTTTATTAGCTTTTGTGTTCACATGCAATTTAAACAAAAAACAAATATTTATATTTAATAACTCTAACTAAAAATTAAAAAATATTATTTTATAAACTAATAGAATAAATATTCTATCAAATCTACATTTATATAAAAGGATGATGTTTAATATCAAAAAAATTATTCAAATAGAATACTAATAATGGAATAATTATTTTAATACTTAAAATTTATAAATTTGCAAATGATATAAATCTTAAAATTTTTATATATTTTATAAATTATTAACTAATATTTTAATTTACATTAATAAGTAATAACAAAATATTTATTATTTATAAAAAATAAAAATATTATAAACAAAAGTATTGATGTATAATATTAAATTGAATATATCAAATGCACTAATCTACATTTATTTCAAAAAATGATTTTTATTTTATAAAATATATAGAAATAAAAATAGTAATAATGGAATAATTATTTTAGTAATTAAAAACTATGAATTTGTATATGATATGTAGCGTAGAATTCTAACAAAATCGATACACTCTAAGTTAAGATTATATTTTTATAAACTTTTAATTCATATTTTAATTTGAGTTGACTTTTTGTTAATTTTAAAAAACTAAAATGGTAAAATAAAATAATAATTGATATAATAATTAAAATATAATAGGTGTGTATATTTACTATCTTAGACTCTTGATTGATCCATTATAAATAAAATTATATGATAGCTACGCATCTCAGTATACTAATTGTAATATATTTCTTGTTATATATCATTAAAGTTTACATTTTCCATGTATTTATATACTATTTTGTGATTATTTTGATCTTAAATTTAGTGTTATTAATGTATTTATAAAACTTGTATGTATTTCCATAGCATATCCATATGTTTCCATATTTTTTATTAGTATCCATACATTTTCAAAGTGTATTTGTATCTGTGTTATCCAATATAATACCCTATAGTCAATGCTGATATGTTTCCCCCTTTCTATTTAGTATCCTAAATTGTGGAGAGCTCATTATTCTTTTCCTTATTCTTTTGACTCATCTATATACATACATATATATATATATATATATATATATATATATTATAAAGAGAAAAGAGAGGAGGTGAGGATCCTCTCACCACAGGCCTCACATGTAAACCTCTTCACTCTCACACATTGCACATGTGGCCTTTAGAAAATAAAAATAATAAATATTAAGTCATATTATTTCCAGTCCAATTAGAACTTATTATTTCCACTCATATTATTTCTAGTCCTATTAGAACTTGTATACAGACAGTGCTTTCTCTTATTATTCTCATCAAGCAACGAGCACTTATGTTCTTCTCTACAATGATAAGAGGGTGATTGCAGCTGCAGGTAGTATAGTGCAAGCACAAGATCCAGCTGAAGCTGAATGGAAGGCAGTCTTTCTAGGGCTTCAAGAAGCAAAAAGAAGAAATATCAATATCATCACTATTTTTTGTGATGCCATGGGAGTAGTCGACACCTTACATAGCAATACTGTAGATTGTAACTGGGTCAATAAGTTGTATTCAGATGAGTTCTGCTCTCTTACTAGGTCTTTTGATGTATGCACAGTTAAGCATGTAAATAGACAACATAATATGCTAGCTCATGAAGTAGCTATTAAGCCATGTAGGAGGGGTTCGGAATTGGTCTTTCACTTAACCTCCTTGACATATTTTCAAATCTATAATTTAAGTATTCTCTTTTCAAAAAAAAAAAAAAATTATTTCCGTAGAGTTGTATATTTCGTAAAGAACAGAAACTTTTCTCCTTTTCCACCATCTTTTACACCTTATCCGTTACATTCACTTTAATTCTATCCATTACATTTCCATTAAAACACTCATTCATCTCTCCTTGAAAAAAATGTTCATTGGTCTTACTATTTTCTTTTCCTTTGCAAAATCAAAACATCCATTTTCTACATTAGAGTAGTCAAGCTACTTGTGATCTATATATTCAGTTTTAGGATTTTTCTCTTTTCATTATAACATAAAGAGAACTTTGAACTAATGAGCTAAAATAGATAGCAAGGCAACTAAGTATTTTTTTACTATGCTTTTTATTATGATAATTACGCATACCAATGTGGAAAGTAAGAAATTGTTTGACTATTTGGCCAACCTACTTTGCATCATTTTAGGTTTTTATGATTTATATAACTTAGGCTCAGTTTGGAAGGAGTACAAATACAAATATGTAGAGTGCAAAACTTTATATTTTGTACTATTTTATATGTATATATTTGTACTCTTCCCAAACTTAGCCTTAAAGTCATCCACCTTAAATGTATATTATATAATTCAAGTACAAGTGTGCAATATCATTTTTTAACCTCTAAGGGGGTGTTCTTTTTTTGGATTTTGAGAGGGGGGAAGTTGGTCAAAGGGATTTTGGTTCCCATTGACCAAGAATCTATGTTCATTTTTCAGATTTATGTAGGGACCAGGGAAAGTTTATTTTCCTGGGTATCACTTACCCGAATAAGTGATACCCACCTCCTAGGTGGGTAAATAACTTTCCCACCTAGGGGGGAAGTTGCTAACACTTGAATGGGACAAAAATGCCCCTTTTAATAATGGATTTTTATGGCTAAAATGGTCATTACCTTATTTGCCTAGAAAATAAAAGAACATGGATAAATGCACTTACCCAGGTAAGTGTTTCCTAAGAAAAACATAGTTGCATTTACCCGGGTAAATAACTTACCAAAAAGCGAACGGGGTTGCCGCTAATGTATCGCACGGGTTTGCCACTAATGTAAATATATAATGTACATTGCACTATTAATGAGTGACATAACAATTCAATTTCAAAACCTTCGACTCTGATTTGTCAAAATCACAATGAGAGTTCATAATAATTAAAAGGATAACTTTCTTTTTCTTTTTTCTACCACTATATATAGGATACAATTACAAACCTAAGGTGGATTTAGGGCTTCAAATGGTATTCATTTATCAGAATTTGAATTGAAATTCGATCCCATTAAGGGTGATTCAAATTTGATCCATTTATAATTGGTTCAAATATAGATCCACCTCTATCCAATTCAATTCGGTATATATGCACATATATACTTAAAATTTATAATGTACATGTATTCATAAAGCTGGTTTGAATATTATGTTTTACTGAATGCAAAATCTATGGTGCAACCTATGTAAATGTTGCAACATAACTTAAATATGAACAAACCAGTGATAAAGCAACAAGTCACAATGACATCTTTAACATTGTAAGTCTTTAATGATAAGTACATCTTGTGAAATGTGAAAGCACACCTTGTAAAATGTGAATCAATGAAAAATAAGTAGATTATAAGATATATTTAACGTGATTGGTTGAAATTGATGTAAAATGTCATAAAAAAACTTTAAATGCATTGCAATTGCACTTTACTAAATTGTCGTAGGTTCAAGTTTTATACAAATTATTTTTAATTGATTTTGATCATGAAATACAATGCAAAAGTCATTTCTAGTTCATTTATTAATAATATATGATATTTTGATCATTTTAGTTTAACTTATTAGCACTATTCAATATCTGATTGCAATCCAAATTTTACTCCAATATGTGATATACACCGAAAGGATATGTCTGGTTCCAATTTGAATATAAATGAATAAAATTTGGATCTATCATCCCAAAGCCTATTTTCTGAAGTAGTTCAAAAGAGTTTACTTTCTCCATGTCCAATTTGCATATTAAACTCAATTCTCATCATGACCGAAGTCTTGAGTTAATAGATTCATTTACTATCAGAGAGCCATCTAAACTTTGACAACTGTCTACAAACACACCTTGAAAAGGAGAAATAATTACATATATAAAGGTAGAGTTTGCTGCCGTGGTTATGACAGATTGATCATGAAATTCATGCATTGCCATCTGATCATGTATACATAAAAAATGTCGTATTTCCATAATAATTACATTACATATATAAAGGAAAAGTTATGAACAACACCCAGATATATGCTTACATTAAAAAATAAATAAAAAAAGAACAGCACTCATTCTAAATTAGTTTCAATGGCATCAGGCAAAAGTATGCTTCCACTGGATTCATATCTATTCTCTACTCTCTTCTTTGCTCGGGAGAGACGCAGAGGAATCAATCCATGGACCATCCATGGATATGCTCTTCTGCATCTGACTTTCTTGAGATGTGATAGAGGTATATGATTGGCTGTCTTGGGAAAGCTTCTGAAAGGCCTTGAACCTCACTTCTTCATCATCTGAGCGTTTCTTGATGATTGGGGCTTGGATCGCAATTTTCCCTTCAAGCATGCTCACCACGGAGGACATGGATGGCCTCAGAGTAGGAGATGGGTTGGTGCAAAAGAGAGCCAAATTCAGCATCCTCAATGCTTCTTCTTTGGAATAGTTTGATTCAAGAATAGGGTCAACAAGTTCTAGGAGATTCCCTTGCTCTTGTAACACATAAGCCTGCAATTCCATAAGAAAAAGAATTATATTTTTCTGCCTCATCAAATTGCAGTTGAGCTCATTTATCTGATACTAGGTATCTTTATTTGACCATTGCAAAAATGAAGAAAATATGAAGTTACACCAGTGTTGGATCAGATGCCTTCTTATCTAAAGTACCCTAGAAAATAGAAGATTGAAAAATTCAATGTCTTCTTTTGGAATTTTACCACTTCGAAAAATTCAATGGCCAGATAAGTGCCCATTTGGGAGGGCTGAAGTGTGGCAGCTTCTGGCTGTCCGTGTGTGAGGCCCACAGACAGCACAAAAGCTATATTTGGTGATAAATACAGAGAGCCAAATCTGCTGTCAATCAACAGTTGGAGGGCTGTCTGCTTTAGCATCTTTTCATAGCTTATCTGGAGCACCTTGCCAAATTATCGGACTTCTTAGGTAGCTAAGCCAGTTGGCAATAAACATAGCTTACATTATTTATGCAGCTGAACCAAAGCTTATCTTCAGATCAGACCTCCCAAATGGGCCCCCAAGGCCCAAGTAAATGAGCTTGAAGGACAATTAATCAAATTACCAGGACCATGTTTCAGTTCAGCAGGTCCAGAAAAAAAGTTCCAATGTTTCATACAGGCTATGACAACAAAATTATATGCATGATAGGTAGGTATATGCATGCACAACCAGATAACCCATATCATAGTCTGAAGTTTCTGAACCAATATGAACCAGGTTTTGTGCAGAAAGGATTCAATTCTATATGATATATATGGTCTGCAATTTTTAGCTTACCCAATCAAGAAGATAAACAAAATCCTCCTTTGGCCTATAACTTGTATTGCTCTTTCCACTGACAAGCTCTAATAAGACAATTCCAAAGCTGTAAACATCTGCTTTGTCAGTCAAATAGCCCCTCATTGCATATTCTGGAGCCATGTATCCTCTACAAAAAAAAAAAAAAGGAAAAAGAGTGTTATATTATATTCTATTGGCCATACTGGAAACAACCTGAAGAAAGCAGTTAGAAAAGAGATTACTGATGGGAGTTGCAATGTTATTTCAAATGCCCATGGTTGAGTTCAAATTTCTCTTTATAGGGATTTCTTAAACACAATTAATCGGGGAATATTCTCATACAGAGTTTCTAAGAAGAATTCTAAATTATAGACTTCTCTCCAGCCTTTTGAACTAATTTCTTCAACTAAGAAGTTTCTGCATCCTGGTCAATGGTCTGAGTCTTTGTAGCCTTAACAACTCAACTCTAGAAAGTTAAAGACTATGATTTTTCACTAGAAGATATTTACTCAACCAACAAGACTTTGGGATTAGTTAACTTGATTTGCACTACAAATGAGTCAATTTACTAAATTTTCCCAAGTTCAGTCACTTGATTTTGTTCTTCCCACAGTATATGCTAGGTATAGAAAGGACAAGGTGGACAGTTGGGTTGAAAGGTGTCCAAGATGCTAGCATATTGGACATATTAGCATCTTGGACATTGTCCTAGTCAACTTGGGAAACATTAGTAAATTGGGCTTCCAAGGGACTCATTTGGGTCACTTGGTTTATATGCTAGGTATCCAAGTGACTCATTTGGGCTTAATTAACTTGGTTTATATGCTAGGTATCCAAGTGACTCATTTGGGCTTAATTAACTTGGTTTATATGCTAGGTATCCAAGTGACTCATTTGGGCTTAATTAACTTGGTTTATATGCTAGGTATCCAAGTGACTCATTTGGGCTTAACTAACTTGGTTTATATTCTAGGTATAAAAAGGACAAGGTGGACATTTGGGTTGAATGGTGTCCAAGATGCTAGCATGTTGGACATGTTAGCATCCCACAGAACATGCTAGCATCTTGGACATGGACTGCTAAGGAATGTTAAACACAATGAAAAAGTATAAAACACGGGTTGAGTGGTGTTTGTTACTATAGAAACCCCAATTGTGCATGAACATATTGTGTTCTAAAATTACATTCAGTATTTGATGCTAGCATTTCTATTTCTTTAATTCATCCTTTTTCATATGCATTTTCAATAGGTAAGTCTTAAAGTCTCAAGATTGTGATGACGAAGTGTCATCAAATTAAGCTATGACATATCTGTCCAAATCTAATCACATGTGGAGAAGAATTTAAGAAATGAGAAATAGGGAATAGCATAAATGACTCACATAGTTCCAGCTATTCGGGTGCTGATATGGGTGTTCTCCTCTTCATCAAGTTTAGCTAAACCAAAGTCAGATATCTTAGCATTTAGATCCCCATCAAGAAGCACATTGGTTGCCTTTATGTCTCTATGGACAATCTTTATTCTTGACTCTTCATGCAGGTATGCAAGACCCCTTGCTATCCCCAAGCAAATCTTACGCCTTGTAGACCAGTCCAGGATTAGTATCTGTTCCTCACGACCTACATACAAACTTCTTATCAACATTAATGATATAAAATTATTTTCTGGACCAAATGAAATCAGAATTTCTAGATGCACAGAGAACTCATTTTTTGAAGACTAAAATAAAAGGCTAAAGGGATTTACCAAATAGAGCACGTGCAAGGCTATTATTTTCCATGTATTCATATATCAGTAACAGCTGGTTTCCTTCAATACAACATCCATAAAGCTTCACAAGATTTGGGTGTTGCAAAGCTGATATCATTCCTATCTCATTGATGAACTCGCGGTTCCCTTGCTTTGACTTGGAGGAGAGCTGCTTGACAGCAATAAGAGTACCATCTGGTAATATGCCCTAAAACACAGGAAAATTTTGGAATCATAATTCTTCAGAAAGATAAGAGCATGAAACTTGAGTTAAAGGAAGAAATGGCCTATTCTTTTCTCCTCATGTGCAAACTTAGATCATAGAACTGCTATCGCTTGGAGCAAAGGTAATATCAGACTGACAAGCACAAGGCAAGTGCAAGTATGAAAGTGGCCATTCGTGCAAGAAAATGCTAATGGTTAGGTCTGTATCCAGTCAAACCCTTCCAAGACCCCTCTATGGCCAGAACTAACATTGTGTAATGGTCCTTATGCCAATTTGGATCAAAGACCTCAAGGTTCAATGACATACCATCAGGTTAAGCTATCAATGTTGAGAACAAGATGTGTTGACTTTGTAATTTGATGAAAAAGGAGAAAAAACATTGGAAGTTCAAAATTACCTTGTAAACTGGTCCAAATCCACCTTCACCTATCTTATTTTCCACATCAAAGTTCCTAGTAGCAGCTTTAATTTGCTTTAAACTGAAATAACCTGTCCCTAGGCCTCTAAGTTCTGCAAAACCAGAGATATTTCTTAGACAAGTTAAGATACAATTCTAGAAAAGAATATTGCATTCATTTTCATTGACAAATATTTAGAAAGGTATCCTGATAATTATGTAGCTTACCAATTTCCTCTGACATTTCATACTACAAAGAATTCTTAATCCAAATTGATCCAGTATTACAGTAGGTTTGAACATTAAATTCATCATTTTATTACCAGAAACTGTAAAAACATTTAACCAAGTCTGAAGAAAAGTATTTTATATACACAGCAGACCATAAATGGGTAGCTAGACTCAGCTAATTACCAATATGATTGCCAATTACAAGACTACAACCCAAAACATCTAGTCTGTATGTTTCTTTTTTCAACAGAGAAAAAAAATATTCAAATGAAATCTAGGTAGAACAAAGTTAGATAAAACCCTTTTAATGGAAAGGAGCTACATGCTTAGATTATTACAAGCACGATGGGGACCTCTCTTGAACAATGTCATCGATGCGGGGAAAAAATGCAAAATTTATCATTTGCCGGCCCCTGTTTTGCCAACCCATCAGCTAGGTTGTTTGCATATCAAGGTATCCACTTAATGAGGGACAAATCTAATTAAGGTAGTTAAGTATTTTGTCTATCTAATTAAGATTAAGTTGTCTATTTTGTCTGGGTTTAAGTTGTGTGTCCCATACTTAATGAGGGACAACTGTCTTTTGTAATCTAATACAAAGAGTATAAATATAAAGTGGGTCGGCTGACAGAGAGTGACTTTTCTTCTTCTCAGACTGAACCCTTTCTCCTTTTCTTATCTTCTTTCTCTTCTTACTTACTTAAGACCTAGAACTGAACTAGGGTTAATCGAATAATTCACATGGTATCAGAGCTCTAGAAAATCATTTTAGGACTCAGTTTTTTTTTCTCCCTTTGTGCCCCTGAGATCGCCATATCAGAACTTCTCTTTGAAGTAACTCCTAAACGAATTGGAGGATCGATAAGGGACCAAAAAGGAGTGGTTGTTTTTCCTTCTTGGAGGTAAATATGCCTCCAGTTGCTATGGTTGTGGTTGTTGTGGTGGTTTGCTAGAAACCCTCTAATTGATGACACAAATGTGGCTGGTTGTGGACAGGTGTGAACAGAAATCTCTAATCGACTGATAGTGGAGTGTGTTCTCTCTCTTTTGGGCTGGATTTCATCCATGTGGCAGTGTTGATTGGTAGGTATGTATATGAACCTTCTTTTTTGGGTGCTGAACCCATGACAGCAGTAGTGTCATCACAACAGTACTCTATTGTGTGGTGTGTGATGTAGTGCTGAATGGTAAAGGGTGATTTTTTTTTGCTTATCATAGTTGGAGTTTGTTTTTTGGCAGTGTGTGGTGATTCTGTTATAATGGCAACAACGGAGAGAGAGTAGTGATAATTAGACAAGTGTTATGATTTCTCCTAATTACCTGAATGTTCAAATGACCTCTATCAAATTAAATGGTGAGAACTATGTACCATGGGCTAAATCAATGGAAGTGTTCTTGAGAGCCAAGAAAAAGGTGAAACATGTGAGAGAGGAGAAACCCTCTTCTAACTCTCTAGGGTTTAGTGAATGGGAATAGGAGGATGCACAGATTATGACCTGGTTGTGGAATAGCATGGAGCCTAAAATTAGTGTGAATTTTATATTCCTGGATACAGCTAAGGAAATCTGGGACCATGCTAAGAAACTTTATTCTGGCCGAGATAACACCACTAATGTATACCAACTTTACCAGGAGTACTTTAACCTGAAGCAGGGTAATCAAAGCTTAGAATAATACTACGCAAGCATGAGAAATCTCCGTAATGAGCTTAATATGTATCACCCTCTTACTCTAGACGTTAAAATTCAGCAGCAACAACGAGAGACTTGATGTGACAAGGTTTTTAGTGGGTTTAAAACCTGAGTATGAACATGTTCGAGCACAAATATTAGGTAGATCTGCTCTCCCCTCTCTTGAGGAAGTGTTTTCCCGACTTTGGAGGATTTCTATTGAACCTATGGAGTCTTCCTCTCTCTTGGACAGGTCTGGTTTTATGGTGACAAGAGGGGGAGGTCATGGAAATAGAGGTGGTGGAAGTGGTCATGGATTTCCAGGGACCCAAGGTGGTCCTATGTTTAATCATACTGGTGGTCACAGTGGAGGTCAAGATTCAGGGGGAGGTCATGATAGAGGAAGAAGTTTGCAGGCTGAAGCAAGGAAACAATGCCAAGTAGACCATTCTGTGTTCAGCCATGAATCAGAAGCAAGGAAAATCGTAGTGTATGTGGATGATGTTGCCATAACTGGTAGTGGTAGCAATGGAATTGACAGGTTGAAAAACTTTCTACAGGATCACTCCCACACAAAAGATCTAGGTAAGCTGAAATATTTCTTGGGGATAGAAGTTGCAAGGTCAAGGCATGGTATTAACTTGTGCCAAAGAAAGTATGTCTTTAATTTACTTGAAGAAATAGGGTTGTTGGGTGCCAAATCAGATGAAACACCCATGGAACTGAATGTTGAGTATTGATGCAGGTGAAGAGTTTGATGTTCCTGGAAGGTAAAGGAGGTTGGTGGGTAAATTGAAACCTAACTATTACTTGGCTAGATATATTATTTGTTGTAAGCATGGCGAGCCAGTTTATGCAACACCCTCGAGTTCCACATTGGGAAGCAGTTCTAAGAATTTTTAGGTACTTGAAGAGAGCTCCAGGTCGTGGACTGTTATACAAGAGTGGAGGAACTCTTGAGATAGAGGGGTACTCAGATGCTGACTGGGCCAGATCTGTTTCTAACAGGAGATCCACTAGAGGGTGTTGTACCTTCCTTGGTGGCAATCTAGTAACTTGGAAGAGAAAGAAACAAATACCAGTGGCAAGAAGCTGAGTACAGAGCTATGGCTCATACTACATGTGAACTACTGTAGATGAAAAATCTTTTGCAGAAAATGGGGTTCTCAGTTGATAGACCCATGAGGTTGTACTGTGATAATCAAGCTGTTGTCCACATTTCTTCTAATCCAGTCTTTCACGAGAGAACAAAGCACATCGAAGTTGACTACCACTTTTTAAGAGAAAAGGTGATTAGTAGAGTGATATATACAGCTCATGTGAGTTCAGTAAACCAGTGGGCAAATCTGTTTATAAAAGGGTTGAGTCGGGGAAGAGTGGATTACATATGTGACAAGTTGGGACTATATGATATATACTCTCCAGCTTGAGTGGGAGTGTTAGAATCGACAGTACATGGGTAGTTTAAGTCTTTTGTCTATCTAATTAAGGTTAAGTTGTTTATTTTTTCAGGGTTTAAGTTGTGTGTGTCCCATACTTAATGAGGGACAAATCTGTCTTTTTTAATCTAATACAAAGAGTATAAATATAAAGTGGTTCAACTGAGAGAGAGTGACTTTTCTTCTTCTCAGACCGAACCCTTTCTCCTTCTCTTCTCTTCTTACTTACTTCAGACCTAGAACTGAACTAGGGTTAATTGAATAATTCACACTTCCTACACCTGAAATCCCTGGGTTGCCTAGGCTGCACCCATCACAATTCAGTTGTGTGTATGGGGAAGGTGGAGGGTTCCATTTATCACTTAGGCCCTGTTTGTTTGCCGATATTTAGTGGGGGGTAAGTTGGTTAACCGGGTAATTGACCACAATCCCTGTGTTCATTCACCCTCTCTTGAACAATGTCATCGACACAGGGAAAAATGCAGATTGAGGTACCCACTTGATATTTGCTCCCGTCACAATTTCTGATCATACTTCCTACACTTGAAATCCCTGGGTTGCCTATGATGCACCCATCACAATTCAGTTGTGTGTATGGGGAAGATGGGGGGTTCCATTTAGCACTTAGGCCCTGTTGTTTGCTGGTATTTAGCAGGGGTAAGTTGGTTAACTGGGTAATTGGCCACAATCCCCATGTTCATTTGCCACTTATTGGGCCCCACAGTAAGTGAAGATGCCAGAGAGTATCAGTTACCTAAGTAACTAATAACCTCCAGGTGGGTAAGCAACTTACCCACACTAAAATAAAACTCCCTCCCTCCTGCCTTCCCCTTTACCAGAGTAACCTGTATCACAAAAGAACTCTGGAACCTATCTTACCCAGGCAAGTTTTACCTATGAAACATTTGTCCGGGTAAACTCACATACCTAGGTAAGTCAAAATGAGCAGGCCTTAGTATGCCAGCAAGATCAACACACTCATTGACCTACTTTCTGGAAAGACACATGTCACATGAATTATTTATCGAGCAAAAACCAAAAGGAAGAATTCTATAGAATGTAAATTGAACTAAAAGACACAAAGTTTTAACTATATTTATCTCACCTTTGTCCTGAGGGTCCTTTCTTCCTAAGTAACCTTTCGTCCAAAGGAATATCAAAATCAATATGATAACCACACATGCAGCAGCTACTATTCCAACAATAGCTCCAGTAGATAGCCCAGTATCAGGATCAAAGTCTACAATGAGAAAGTGATTGTTACGACCTGATTGTGGAGAGGAGAAAGGGGCCTGACAGGCAAGTGTATAAGTAAACTTACTTGGTGTCACGGTAATAGCTGATATAAGGGGTCCATATACACCTCGGCTTGGAATGGCAGTAGTCCCTTTCCCAGACCAGTATAAGTGAATCTCTAGAGTGCTACCATTAACAGTGACATCATTAAATTCCCTAATAATTCCTTTTCCAACACCATTTGCTTCTTTGGCAATATTGAAATCTTTCAAGCGTATTTGATTCTACAAGAAGAAACAATGCCACAAAAAAACAGAAAATCATCAGCAGAAGAAAAGTTTCCTTTACTCTTTATTTATAAAATAGCTTAGCAACACAGAATTAAATAGAACATTTTTCAAACCCAGCATGGAGGCTGAACTATTTTTCCCTCCAGGTCAAAAGGTCAACCATGATTTCATAACAACAAAAAAATAAAAAAAAAAAACAGTAAGCTGTTAAATGGGTCAGATGGGTCAATAGTTCAACTGTTCAGGTTTGATGGGTCATTGACTAAGTCAGCATTTTTTTAAATATGGTGGATTAGAGGTTGACTCAAAACAGAACCGTGACCATGTCAATGATGGGTTGAAATCACTGGTTAGATGTAACTAAATTCTATATTCTATAGGAAATGATTATCAGAAAAATTATAGTCATTGGTCAAATGACATGCAACAGAACTCTAATGACAGCAATAGCTAATTACTCACTTGGATTGATACGTCAAATATACGGTTTCCAAGGCTGCTATATGTCTGGTCATCTGTGTACATAATTTCTGCAAAGTGGAGCTTCACCGTATAACTTCCCTCGCGTAAACAAAGTCCATAATACTTAAGTGACAGAGGAGCAAGGCGAGCCGTCCTGTATATTGTTGCATCAGTCATGTTCAGCATACTGTTTGAGGTTAAGTAATTAGCTTTGCCATTCTCCAAGTAGTCTCCTGTCGTGCTACAAGCCCATCTTTCACTAGAATGGTGGAAATATGATGGACCCATTGTTAATAAGTCATCTTCATATTCTTCACCATCAAATTCCCCCCTAGGGCCACCACAGTTAATGAACAAGGAATAATCTGCATATGCAAGATTAATAGTATGTAAAATTAGTTAAAGACAGGAATTCCCAGATGTAAATTAATGGCTAACGGTTTAAGATCTTGAGGATCCCATGGAGAGAAAATACTTACATTTGGGTTCACTAGAGCAGGGTAAGTCCTTCTTCAAGCACCAACTGACACTACAAAAGGTTTTTAGATTCATTTATTTCCTTAATGTGTCTACCGAGTGAAGTAAGCAGGATTCAAGGGAACTAGGAACTTACGTGTTGTCTTCTGAAGATGAATAACTAGCAATTGTTTTCCTGTAAAACAATATGAAAAGAAAGTTTATTTCCATAAAAAAGATGGGGTAAGGATTAATTAAATATCTAATCTGGAGAGCTACTTACACGCCTGATTGCTCACAGCTGGCTACTGTAGAGTATCCTGTAAAGTTATTGTAAGATATGTCACTGCAAGAAAGCATATTTAATAGGAAAGTCATGTATTTGTGAGAATGAACAATGAGATGTAATAGGGAATTATAAAGAAATGTGGTTTGAAGATTTTAATGGGAAATGCACACATAAAAAACTTGCTCTCCATGATCCAAGCTGGTACTGATCCAGTTAGTGAATTGTTAGTGAGAAACCTACATTCAGAAATGATATCATGTGAACTTTTTGGTTGGAGAAACTATATTATAAAAGAACAAAGAAAAAATATTTAGAAAAGAAAACCAAGATTATTTTATGTACAAGAATTTAAGTTTAAATTATTTATTCTAAATGGCTATATACGTACAGATATTGTAGGTTTGACAAACTCTCTAAGTTTTGTGGAATTTGACCAGTCAATCTGTTGAAGGTCAGGTCTCTGCAACACCAAATGTTATGATAAGAACAAAACAAGAAAAGATATCTCTAATTGAATAAGCAGTGATATCATGATCTATCTTCTTCATATTAAGTAGATTACTTAATAGCCAATAAAATAATCTTCATTGAAATTCCCTAATAAAAGTACAAGTTATGGTCCCATAATAATTTATTCTAAGAAGAAATAAGAATAAAACAAGAAAAGATATCTCTAATTTAATAAGCGGTGATATCAGATCTTCTTCGTATTAAGTAGATTACTTAATAGCCAATAAATTTCATTGAAATTCCCTAATAAAAGTACAAGTTATGGTACCATAATAATTTATTCTAGGAAGAGTGCTAATGTTGTGGCAATTCCACCCAAAAGGTAAAGCGTTACTCCTACAATGCATCCTTTTACAATTCTCAAGGCTTTAGGCTATACAGCAGCAACTTTTAATTTTCTTTGATCCCAAACAATGAATTCTATAAGTTTTTCACAAAGATCATGAGCCCTGCTTTCAAACAGGCAACTTTTTTACCAAGCTTACTTAATTTTCATATCTAAATCTTAGGCTGAAACCACTCTTTGTTTGGCAATACAATATGAAAAGCATTAGTAAATAGGTGCATAAAAATGGATTCATTCCAAAACAAGCCTATTAGGAACCAATTACCATTTTCTTATTCTTTGTAAAACCATTATCAACTTTCATAAATATGTAATATGCAGTATATTCTGCCAAAAGTCTTCTCCCTTGTGAAGTATCTTTTCCTGAAGTTCTACTTCAAGCATAAGATGACTGTCAATATAGGGTGATAATAGTTAAAAAGTAGAACATACATGGATCAATAATCAAATGTAGACAAATACAAACCAGGAAACGATGATTTGGGAATAGGAATTTCAAACATAACCTGGATTACACTAAAATCCATCACAATTGACTGGAAGCTTGCCAAAAGTGCATAAAAATGCAGAAAATTTCAGAAATTGGGCATTTCTCTAATCTTATCTATTCATCACATTAAGCAAAACAAGTGCAACAAATAAAAATTATTGTTGTCAGTGTTTAATAAAATAAATCGATAAATGCAAATAAAAAAGAATAGATGTCTAGCTCATGACCCACTGTCTGGGTCAACCAGATCAGCAGTTCAACCACCCAGGTTGCCAGGTCTCTGACAAAGTCAACAAGTTTTTTTTCTGAATGCAGGTTGGAGGTTGACCCAAGCCAGTATTATGACCAGATGATGGGCCAAATGGTTCAATCGACTGGCTCAACAACAGGCTGAAAACATTGCTTAGAACTCAAATACTATTACTAATATGTTGGTGCAGTAAAGATTCTAATAATAAAGGTTTGTAGGATTATTGGAAATTTTAACACATAGACATGGGTGGAATTATCGCCTATCTAAAGTTCTAAACCATCCAAGTGAATTAACCTTCGTTCATTCCACACCTTCTGATTCCACAGCAGACAAAATCAGAAAATAGGTTTGAGTGAATACTGAACTCTAATGTATATTTCAATAACTCTCAGTGGTGCAATATCCAAAAACCAATAGATAAATGAAGAAGCATGTAAAGCAATGCATCTGGAAAACTACATCAACTCATGGAAACTTACATTTTTTTAATATTTGTCATCACTTTTCCAATGTAGTTGGGAATTTGGCCAGTAATCATGCAATTTCTTAGTATCCTAGAGAACCAAAAAAACAGATAATGAGAGAAAGGAGCCACAGAGACTGTTTATACAATTATGCCATGCATGGGTAAACTTACAATTCATGCATGGCTGCCATGTTTTGGAGGTCAGGGAAACTCATATTCGTTGTGTTCAAATCACTTATCCTCCTAAAATTTAAAATACATGAGATTAGAAAACTCAAATAATAACTCTATTTTCAACTTTTATGCTGATAATTGTAGAAAAGAAAAATGTCCAAATGACTTGAGAAAGAATTGAAAAATAGTGGATTGTTGCCTCACAGTTCAGTTAAGTTTGTTAACAGGGAAATTGTAGAAGGAATAGGCCCCTCCAAGGATGTTCCTTGCATATCGCTGCAACATTTTGAAGCAGTAAATCATGAAGGTATGTTCAGGAATGCAGAGAAATTGCATGTAGGAAAATATTAAGGTACTCACAACTGCTTAAGTTTGGTCCAGTTGCCAATAAAATCAGGTATCCTCCCAGATATACTATTACCATCTATCCTACTGCATGTAGTAACCAAATTTAGGATAGTATTTGAAAAGTGACAGTTGCCCAAGTTTATAGCATCAACTTACAAATCTGTCAAGTTCTTCAGATTTCCAAATGTTTCTGGTAATGGGCCTGTGATATTGTTTGCAGAAAGAAGGCTGCAGGAGTAAGAAATCAATATACATGAATCCAACAACAATAACCATAATAATGATAATTATAATAACAACAGCAGCAGAAACAACAATGATAGAACAAATAAAATAACAACAACCATAACAATAATAATAGCCATAATAACAATATTGAAAGTGATGATGATAAGAAGAAAATTGAAGAAACACTAAACAGATACTTGTGATCCATCCAGGGCATTTTTGGAACCTCATAAGGAAAAAAAGAAGCCAGAAGGATACATAAATGGAGCCCAAGTAATTTGGGCCATGAATGCTTTACTAGCAAATTTACTCTAGCAGATGATGAAGTACAACGTAAAACCAATATAGAGGAGATTTAGAAAGCTCACTCATCAATAAGGATTCACCCTGAAAATATACAATGTTTACTATACAGAAAGGTGAGGGATATAAGAAGATAAAAACACTCTCTCTACAACTCATTATCCAAACTTAAAAGATCCGACTGCTGCTACATCCAAACTCTGGCCAACTTAAAAGAAGTATCAAGCTTCCCTTGAATAAGTTGACCACTCTTTCCTAATTCCTAATTGAGATTACTCAGAATTATAAGATTTTAATATTCATGCTACTATGTTCACAGACCAACTAAACGGAATTGCTTAAGGTACCCACAGGTATATTAATTTTTAACAGAACTGAGGCACTTATTGACAAAATCTTAATAAAACTATCATACCCCCCAACAACTTGAACAGGAAGAATTCAATTGTAACTAATCCTTGGAAACTTAATGATATTGCTAATTAGATGGCGCTGCAACAGGAAATCTTCAGATGCTCCACAAATTTGAATCTAACAAAAACTTATTAATTAATACCATGGTGATTCCTAATGAAAGATGATATAATGACAAATGCATACTCTATGGTAGTTCCATTACTACTAGTAAATCTATTTTGCACCTCTAACCTGGTCTATTTGCTTGAACCTTTAACCGATATAAACACTGATAGTATCTTTTAACCAGTATACCTTGACATGTAACATAGTGTTAGGTGGTGATGATGACTGAGATTATCCAAGCTCTGAAAGTTGGGAAGAGGGTGAATGGAGCTCAGATCTGCTGATTCGGAGATTGGTAAGAAAGGGAAACACTGAAAACTGGTGGAAGAGGAAGCTCGAGCTCCCTCGATAATGGTGGAACCTGAACTTGAGAAGGGGATATCCCCAGGTAGAGCTCCGAGGATGATTCTCCCCTTTTCCTAATTCCAAGGACTAATGTTCTCCTGTCCCCTTTTGAGATGCAGTTAGGTATTTATAGATGCTCCTAGAAGTTTCTGGAGTTTGCATTTTTGGTTGGTTATCTTTCTTGGGCATCACAACAAATAAATTTGTTATAAAAGAATATCCATCTGACATGATCGATCAACAGTACTACGTTGCTCTTATTTGTTATAGACAGGATCACGTGAGTATTGCTGTATCGATTTGCAGCAATACTGGGTTAAACCCCACATTGTGTGCCCTGGATGTGTCTGTTCATTTTCTTATTTCTGACATCTTACTTTCACAATGTTATAAACGCCAAACTGCTATTTCCACACACCCTTTAATGACTAACCACGGTTTTATGCAAGTCTATGCTCTTAGACATGGGATACATAAATAATCTAAAAACATAACAAAATTAAAAAAATCAAAGTGTGAACTCTTTATTTTATTTTCCTTTCTTATAATATTTTATTTATACATGCTAAGTGCAAAGATTTGTTACTGACTTTAACTTTGGAAAGTTGGAGCATCATTGTGATGCCATAAGAAATCATGTCAAGTACCAATCATCAGTAGTGTGTCCAAGTGATAGCACAAGTGGACCTTCTAGTTTCAAAATTCTTAGTATCCTGGCAATGTTGATCTTAACCAATAGCCCGCATGGCTCCTAGTTACTATAGGTAACTGATTACAAACCTTTGCAAATTATCATGTCCACCCAGAAAGTACAATTCTACACATAAAAGCAGTACAGTACAGCATGTTCCAAAAGCTATTTATAATCATACTTGTAATTCGTTTTCTATTGAAGTATGAGACATGCAATTTTGAGTAATAGGGAATGGCTCCATGTTTATCATGCATTCATGAATCATTTACATTGCCAGGCAATCATAAAAATAGAAAAATTTTCTTCTAGATGGATCATCAATAAAACAAAGCAAATGAAACCCATATACACTAGGAAAAGTCTTGAAGATATTCATCCTTGCAAGACAAGATAGGAAACCCTCCAAGTACCAAAACACATGGATGAATATTGTCTACATAAAGTGCATATTACTGACATATGAGAATTGTGTATTACTTTAACCTTTATAGTTCATTACTCAAAATCATTCTCTGAAAACATACCTGCATTATGACCACAAAATTGTTCCAGTACGTTGATTAGGTCAATAAATGACTATCTTATTACAGATCGACATATACCCAAATCAAGAGTATAATTTATGATATAGTTGACTATCCTTGTTATTGTGGTTGTCAAAATTACAAGGTTATGTAATTTTCAAATAGAACACGGTTAGTGCTCAAGTAAACTCTCAATGTAAGCCCTCAAATAAAAAAATTCCCCATGAAGGATACAGCATTTATTTGACATGTTATCAGCATTTATTACTATTCACTGCAAGCATGAGTTTTCTATTTAATGGTTTGCTTCAACTACTATAATTTGAGTCAGATGCTTCTAAATGATTTGGATCAGCAAATATCCAGCAATTACCGTGAGTAGACATGACACACAAAACATATAATGCATTTACGACAAATTTTTTCTTCTGGTATTTGTGAAGCTTTCTCCACCTTAAAGGCAAATTTTTGTTTGTCCAAGAACTTGAAAATCGACTAACCGTTCTTCAATAAACTACACAAAAAAATGTGCCACCATCTTCATAATGCCACTGCATTATATCACCATCCCTTAATGTAGGCCAAAGACCCAGTTTGTAGAGATGGTCACTTGGCACTGTTCCCATAATGGATATGCAGGATCAGACCTGCAGAATTGCAGGCTCTCCATAGTCTGGCCATTGGATCTCGCATGCACTTTGCTCTGTCCCCACCCCTGCATCCCTACTAACCTCTGACCAGCTATCCCGACTATTTAGATCATCATATACCAACTATATGGGATTGGCTACATGAATCCTGTTTCTCCATTCAGTTCTCAAATCAGGATCTATGTTCATGAGAGTTTGGCAAAAGTTTTAGTGCCAGCTGCCAATCTGATGCAACCCTCCTTATCCGGGCTTGGGACCAGCAGAGTAAAACAAGCTCACACTAGCAGTGTAAGACAGCCCTCTGCCTTTAACCCGACTATTGAGGTGCCAAAAGAAAATTACATTAATGTAGGAATATCAAATACTGCTTCCTGAGTCACCTAAAAGTGGCTATCCAAAGGACATGCATGTGTTGTTCATTTGCATTGAGCATACAAGAAAGAGTTCAAAAGAGAGAAGAACAGAATAAGTATGGGATTTCTACTAAATACGTAACAACCAGGTCCAAATGACCTCTATGGCTTTTCTCTAAACTGCCTTGTTTGATTCAAGTACTTTCAATATCAGAAATGCACAAATTGGTGGGGATACTGAAACTAGAACTTTTCTGCAATTATTGGTCAGCATAAGAGAGTATTGGAACTTGTCACAAAGTAAAAAGGAAAACAAAAAAGAAATTAGAACAGAAGCCTTACAGTCTCTTCAACCGGCTTAAATTACCAAGTTCTGGAGGAAGGGTTCCTCCAATCTCATTATCTTCCAAGACCCTGCGAAAGCCAGGTTTAAGATCAGTAACATAAGCAGACGTCATTGATTGCCATAATCTACCGAGAATATTAGTTAGTTTATGACTCACAGCTCCTCAAGCGTTTCGATGCTACTTAGCTCTGCTGGAATGGGCCCACTAATGCGGTTTCCAAGAAGACTTCTGCAATGCACGATAATTTCAGTTATGTAATTGTATCATCAATTGGTTCTATCAGAGCCATAGAATTACAAAGGCAACTAAAGGAGCTGAATTAGATTTAGAGCTCACATGGTGACAAGAGGGATCCGAGCCCAACTCACGGGAATGGTCCCATTGAGATAATTGCGACTGAGATCTCTGTTTCAAAATAGCAAGAAGAAGCCAAGCATTACAATTAGAATTCCCGAATTTTCAAACAACAGTTCGCCACAGACATAGGCATGATTCTGTATCATCAGACAACAATCAACAATTAAAACTCACATTTCTTTCAAGAATGAAAGGTTCTCGAATTCATCTGGTAGAACACCAGTTAGGTTCAGAGTCTTCAGCTGACTGAAACAAAGGAAAAAGAAAATGGAAATTAATCAGAAAAAGTGAACGTTGAAACCCTGATTCCTGTGTGTGTGTGCGAGAGAGAGAGAGAAAGAGTAATACATGTTGGTGACGTGGCAAATGGTGGAGCTGTTGAAGGAACAGTCGCAGGTGACATTGTTGACTCCAGTAGAAGTACCAGTAACATTCCCGCTAAAACCTCTGCTGCAAGAAGCTGAATTGATGTTCCAATATGTGTTCTTTAATTTCGCCGATATTTGCTCAAGTGCCAGAACTGCAAGAGTGATGACTATTCAGTCTTTTACGGTTTAACCGTTTAACTGCCAACAAACACTGGCAATGCGCTCAAAAGCTCAATGCAACAAGGCATTTTTTGCTTTTTTTTTTTGAAAATAATGCAACAAGGCATTTGATCACAAGCAAATTCAATCAATGCATTCATTAGAAGAACGAAATTGAGTTTTGTTGCAAACCAATTCCATGGATGGAACTCATATGACAGTAACACCCCACTAGTACAGAACTCCAATTTGAAAAAGATGAAAATGTTGAAAAGTTAAGAGGTAATTTTATAATTTTTCTTTAGGCTGCATATGTAAGAAATGCAATTTTTTTTTTTTTTTACCGTAATCGTAATCAAACAAAATAAGCTAAAATTTGAAACAAAAAATTGTCAGAATTTACACTCAAATCATTTGCATTGCCATAATTTTACATCAGTGCAAATTAAAACCCCTTTATATATTTTTTAATCTGAAACATTTTGAGACAAAGATAATGAAAAAGTCAAGAATAGAGTAAAATCCGAACCGAGCTCAAAATTATGAATTTTTTACTCGAATCATACTCAAGCTCAAGATTCTTACTCGAATCAAACTCGAACTTAAATTCAAACCTTGTAGAACAGTTTCAAACCGAACTCGAGCCTCATACTATTCGACTCGGCTCATACTATTCGAATCCACCCCTCAACAATAACTCAAAAGATAGGGTTTTCATCACTTAATCCATCGTTTGATTCATCTGTACTGTATTCTTAGGTTGGCATGATATATTTGACTGACTTATTACGCGCAACATTTAAAGAAAAGATGTCGACCCAACGACACAAAAAATACTGATAAATAGTGAAGAAAAAAACACCTAGAGGATTCTGACTTTTGACCAATTTAGGTTTTGACGTTGTTTGCTTTGGATAAAGCTTTACTTTTAAACTTTGAGCAAAAAGTACTTTTAGCATTCGATAAGAATCGCTTCTCCGAAGAACACTCCTAATTTTAAGCCCCAACATATTTTACATGAAAATTCATGTATAACCTATTAAAAATGCATATAAAATAAATATAATTATGTTTTACATCATAATAAGAATATATTGAAAATTAATCATCTTAGTATTTCTAATATTCTTAAAATTCAGAAAATTATAAATAATTGAGGATAATTTGGTAATTCCATCTTGGAAACGGACAAAACAGCAACCAAACAAAACTACCGGAAGACAACTTGTTTGGCATACGCACGAAGGTGATAATGTTTCCAACTTTCCATCATCGAGAAAACTGATGGGCCACACACACTCTTGGATGATGTATCTACAGCACTACACGTTATACCGTGTGACTCGCCTTTCAACTGTAGCGATTTGACTGACATATCAGTTAGATAACAGTCTCGTAGAATTGTAGATAAGATGGCAAGAAAGGGAAAAAGCTATAGCGGCAATGGTGACGTGTTAATTCTCACAGTTTCAGACAACTGTAGTAAAATGAAGAACATTTTGCAGAGGAGAGGTTGCCAATCCATTTACGCCAGATGGAAGATATAGGCTTTGGTGGAGGATAACGAAATAAGATTGAATTACTGAAGAAGAAAAAGCAGATTAATTTATAGAGATCTTCAATTGCAGCAAAATTAATGAGATGAAATGGACACGAACACAGACTGACAGACAATTTTCTTATGATGGCAGCGCTTCCCAATCGTCATCGGCAATTCAATCGATCTGAACTGAGACGAAACAGTTCAGTTTTCAAGGAATTTCTTCGAACAGATTTACGTGGCGTTCGGTAATCGTTCAAAATTAACAGAGAGCAAATTTCATTCCAAATTAAGAAGAATTTCAGCACAGAGAGAGAGAGAGGGAGGGAGAGTGGTACCTTCTTCATTGGGTAACACTTGAACTTGAGATCTGAGCTCCCGGAAGCAATTCAGCATGACGAAGAAGAGAAGCAGAGAAGGAAACAGGTTATTGGATTTGGGTAGAAGGGCTGCGACTGACGCCATATCTTTGTCCAAGCGGCAAAGCAGCTGTTCTTCTGTTGTTGCTTCAGAGCAAAAGTAATATGCGCTCTTTATGTCTGCTGGATGATAGTGAGATTAATGAAACAACAGAGATGAAGGGCCAAACATGACGTCGAAATCCAGGCGAAGAGAGGGGGATGGTAGGAGAGAAGTGGAGTAGCGGGAAAAGGAAACGAGAATGTATTCAAAGGAAGGGAGGGTTGAATCTTGAATGATCAAACTTGAAGAAGAAGGAAGAAGAAGGAGAGAGAGAGAAAGGATGCGGAGGATTCGGCCGCCACCGCCAGCAAACGTTCATATCGGTCAACCTTTGCTGGCTGTACTACTACTGTGTTCCCTCGCCTTTGTAGATTCAATCATTCAGTTATTATTGTGGGCCCATCATCAGTTTAACGAAATGACGTTGTGGTGGGGCCACAGCAATCCTAGATTGAAAGACCATGATTCACGGTTTTAGGCCTGCGCTACAACCATGTTACAGCAACTCAGCAAGAGTAAACTCTAAAGAAGGGAAAATTGCTTAACAGTACCTAAACTTTGGGGTTGTGTTAAGTCAGTCTCGGAGCTTCAAAATGTGTAAAAACAAAAAATCAGACCTGATGACGAGTGGACTCTAGTCCAAAATAAGAGGAAAATTCGAATGACATGATGAGGAGTGGATTTTAGTCCAACAAAATAAGATGAAAATTCGAATGAGAAATTTAGATGTTAACAGGAAGTCCCAAAGCACTAAACTGTTTGAGAGATAGAGGGATAGTCGATGGTATCCAAGGAAGGATCATTGGTCCCATGTGAAAGCAAGTAGAATGGAATCGGTATTCCTAAATTCCGGTCATGCTACTATTGAACCCCTTAACCATGGGACTTACCAGCAGAAACGGATTCAAAAAAGTAATAGCGGGAAAGAAATTCAGACGGGGAACCTTGGTTCCTGTAACAGATTTGATATGGAAAAAATTAAGGTGAACAATACTGATGCTATTTTTTTACAGGGAAGATAGTCAGTCTGTTGAGAAAATTGTTGCAGTTTCTCACAAGGTGGTCAGGGAAGACGATGAGATGCTAGACAATTGGGATAACATTCAGCCTCTAAATGAAGAAGAAATCCTTGAAGAAGCTGATGGTAACATGATGACTTATGAAGAGATGCTGAACCAAGAGATCACCAAACTGGAGAAGGACAAGCAAGGTCCTATTAGTAATGTGATCAGTGATGCAGATCCTTAGCTGGAATGTCTGTGGGGCTGGGAGGAAATGCCTCCAGTGCCAAGTTTTAGAGATTGTGAAAGTCTACAAAATTGATGTATGCTATCTTATGGAAACTAGAGTTAATCCAGATAGAGCTAAAAAGATCGTTAAAACTTTCCCTTTTGTTAATCATATTTTAGTTGAATTTTCTGGAGGCTTATGGGTCTTGTGGAACAAAAATGTTTGTAAGCTTCATGTCATTTTTTCTAATGATAGATTTGTTCATGTGAACATTAGTGAAATTGGCGGTAATGTATCTTGGAATTGCACATTCATTTATGCTCCTCCGGCTAAAGCTGAGCAAAGAATTGTATGGAATTGGATCAAGGATATCGCGTTAAATTCTAATTCTCCTTGGCTTCTCATTGGGGATTTCAATACATTTAGGTCAAGTGAGAATAAGAGGGGTTGTATAGAAGTGAGGCCTAGTCAAACAAAGGAATTTAATGATCTCATTTTTGAGTGTGAACTTATGGAATGAGAAATGAAGTGTAACCCCTATACGTGGAAGAACAATCCTACATGGGAAAAACTTGATTGGGCCTTAGTGAATGATGAATGGAGACAGTTGTTTCCCTCGGCACTCCTCAGAAATCTCCCGTTTATGGCCTCTGATCATACCCCGTTGGTGCTTTCTACCAATTCAGATCAAAGTTATGGGTTGAAACCATTCAAATTTGAAGCCATGTGGTGTCTAGATCCGAACCTTAAGCAAATAGTTAACCAAGCCTGGAATTTTAATTCGAATGGATATAGAGCAATGAGATTTGTAAGGAAAAGAAATAATCTCGTCCGTAAGCTGAAAATATGGAACAAAACTCGGTTTGAAAATATTTATAAAAAAAAAAAACAAGGTATTATCTCAGTTCTCGAGAAGGTCCAATTATAGCTAATTAATCAAGAAAATGACAAAGCTCCTAGGAACCTTGAATTGGCCCTTCAAAAATAATTAAATAATATTCTCTTGAGAGAAGAAGTTTATTGGGCCCAAAAAGCTAGAATTGATTGGATCAATCTTGGTGATAAAAATAATAGATTTTTTCAGGTTTTAGCGACTATAAGAAGAGCTAGAAATAGAATCACGTATATTTTCAACCAAGAAGGTAATAAAATTGAAAATCACTTACAAATTCCAAATTATTTTACTCATGAGTTTACGAAGAGATTTAAAGGTGAGGGCTCTGTCGGCATCAATGACTTCATTAAAGAGATTTCAAAGAAAGTCTTTGAGGAGCAAAATAAATTTATTATTAGAGAAGTTTCTGATAAAGAGACCTTTGAGGCCCTCCAATCTATTGGGGATCTCAAAGATCCTAGTCTGTATGGTCTTAACGCCCTATTTTTTTAAGAAATTTCGGAATATTGTCAAAGATGACTTTTGTGGGATTGTTAAGTCCTTCTTCACTAGGAAATTGTGCCCCATTCTGAATAAAATGTTCATAACTCTTTGTCCCGAAAGTAGAGAATCCAGAGACGATTAATAATTAATAATTACAGACCCGTTAGTCTCTGTAATGTGATTTACAAGGTTATCTCAAAAATTTTTGTGAATAGGATAAAACCATTCCTTGATAATCTAATTTTTTCATACCAAAGTGCTTTTGTTCCCAATAAACAAATCAAAGATAACATCCTAATTGTTCACGAAATGTTTAACTCCATGAGAAGGAAGAAAGGCAAGAAGGAAATTATGGCTTGTAAGGTTGACATGGAGAAAGCCTATGATAGGATGGAATGGGATTTTATTAAGGAAATCTTAAGGAAATTTGGGTTCCACCATAAATGGATTGGTTAGGTGATGGAGTGTATCAAGACGATTTCTTTTCATATTCTTATCAATGGCACTCCTTCCAAAGAGTCCAAACCTAGTAGAGGTATTAGATAGGGTGATCCTCTTTCTCCGTACATATTTGTTCTTTGTGCAGATGCTTTAGCCATAAAGCTTGAGAAAGAGGCTAATGAGGTTGGAAACCCGATTGGGTATAGAGCTGCTAAGAATTGCCTAAAAATCCCAATATTACAATTTGCGGACAATTGTATCATTCTTGTTGAACCCTCATTAGATGTTGGTCTCAAAATTTGAAAAGTTCTTTTGGATTATGCTAGGGCCTCAGGCCAAAGCCCAAACTTCAATAAATCTACTGTTCAATTCTCTTGTAATATCCCTAATAGGTTTCAGAAAATTACTGCTTGAATTTTAAAGACTCCTATTCAGTCTAAATCAAAGAAATATTTTGGAGCCCCTATTATCAATTCTAGAGTCACAAAAAATACTATTAAGGATTTAAAAGAAAAGGTTAGCTCGAGACTCTCAGGTTGGAAAAGGAAAACATTATCAAATGCTGAAAGGTCGACTTTGCTAAATTTTGTGACGACCATGATACCTCTTTTAATTATGAGGTCCTTTAGAGTCCCTCAGAATACTATTGAGGAAGTTGATAGAATGCAAAGAGACTTTCTCTAGGACAAAGATAATGGTAATAATCCTATTCATCTTCTTAATTGGAAAAAAGTGTGTACTCCAAGGAGAAATGGTGGTTTAGGGGTGAAGAGGCTCAAGTGGATGAATGAAGCTAGGATGGAAAATTCTTAATGAAGAAGATAACATTTGGGTTAAAGTGTTGAAAGGGAAATATTTGAGTAAGGAGAGTCTATGGGAGAGTAAGAAAAAGAAAGGAAACTCGTGGGATTGGAGAGTTCTTTGTGCTAGAGATCTCCTGAAAACGGGCCTTAGATGGGAACTTGGTAACAGTAACTCAATTAAATTCTGGACAGATAATTGGGATGAGGGTGGCCCCCTATTGGGGTATCTCCCTAACTACGGGACTATCAATGAAGAAGAAGTTGTAAATGATTATATTGATGAGAGACGGGTTTGGATGGAGAAAAAAATCCAAATTTAGTCCCAATGTACATATGGAACAAAATTAAAGTCGTCTTCATTCCAATGGTTGGTGAACAAGATAGATTAGCTTGGGGTTTAACTCCGAGAGGTTCTTTCACCATGAGATCGACTTACGAGCTGGTAGGTAATAGTAACTTTCTTTGTGAGTCTCCTTTGAATTGGTTCTCGATGGTGTGGAATGCTAGTTGCCCCCAAAGTTAAAGGTTTTCTTGTATCTTATGCTTAACAACAAGCTCCTCTCTAAGGTCAACCTTCATAAGAGGAGTGCTAATATTGTTGAGGGCTCTGTTTGGTGTGGGGTTAGGGAGGATGTAAAGCATATTTTCTTGGACTGCATCATTGCTAAGCAAGTTTGGGGTTGCACTGGTGTCAATCTTGACAATTTTAATGGGGAGAGTAATCGAATGGTGATTGGTGGACTACTATTCACAAGAGGGACATTACAGAGAAAAAATTTTTTAAGGAAAAGTGTGTGTTCATTCTATGGAAAAAATTTGTTCTGTTGCGGCAATTGTAAGAGACCATTTGGATAGGGTCTTGGATTCCAAATGCTTCACTCTTGGCACTACTTATATTAATGCGGCTAAGGCTTGGGATGCGTGGGAAGCTCACAATCTGGCCCTTAACTTTAATGACCACCCAACTACGATTGAGGGGGACTCGAAGATTGTTATTGGCTGCTTAAAAGAGTAAATTTCTCCACCGTGGAATCTTAGGAACGTCATCTTGGGTTGCTTAAAGTTGAAGGAGTTGCTGGAGAGAGGCAAACCAGGTGGTGGATTGGCTCACTCACAAGGCGATGTCTTCTATCATTATATTTTTTTCTTTTAACTCTTGTAATATTCCGAGGGATCTTTATTTTATTTGCTTTAGTGACTTCTAGGGTCGTGCTTCCCCCCGGCTTGTGTAGCACATTTTATTTCATATAAAAAAAAAAAGTGTTTTTGTGTTATCCTAACTTTCAAATTGTATTTATTAGGTTCTTACCGTTAATTGACCATCAGCCAAAACCATTACGTGGTATCATGTGTGTATTAATTAATTTTAAAATGGTAAAATTATCCTTTATGATATTTTTCTGACCATTTTACCCATTTCGTCCAAGTGTTAAAAGAAGAAAAGGGGAAGAAGGTTCTGAAACCAAATAAGTGATC